TTGCACCGGCAGGCTGGCTGTTGCTGGCACCGCATACCCGCGGCCCAACAATCTCCCCCCCAGCACCTGCCAGCCTACAACTGCGCAGCATGCTGTTGCCGGGGGTCGAACTCGTGACCTTGGCTCTGATACCACTTGTGGATCGTTGCGCTTACCGCTACACTAAAAGCAATCGCTGATAGTGAAGCACGCTCATCCCCCTTTATAGCACAACCGAAGCGCCACGCGGTCCGATTTTGCACCGGCAGGCTGGCTGTTGCTGGCACCGCATACCCGCGGCCCAACACATCATATCAGTGCAGATGAAGAGGATGAGGTGACTTCTAAACCGAAGTATTCCGTCTTTGATCGAATTGGGGGGGCAAAACCAAGATTTGCCATCTTTGATAGGATGGGGCCAAAGCCAAAGAAGATCATGAAGAAAACTTTACAAGAAAGGCTTGGAGTGATCCCCTTCATGGTAAAGCACATGGAAGACCCATGTAGTGGGTAAAACTTTGAGAGAAAGCGAGTACATGAAAGGCTGGGGAAAGTTTGCTCATGCAAGAAACCTCTCAACAAATATACAAAAACACAAGTTTTGAATGAATATAGAAGCTTGATTCCATCCCGAATGAGGCGAGAAACTGATGTGGAAGTCTCATGTGGAGAAACTCTCAAAGTACAGCTGAAAACAATTATTCATACTCGAACGACAGAAGATAATAAGTTCATATATGATGAGCTGATTGATGATGAAGAATACATTGCTTCATCTTACTATATTACTTTTGGTGATGAAATCCCGACCGAAGGTGAAGATGCTGATGAAGCTCCTCCGAAATTTGAAGAGGAAGTGCGAACAGCCTTGGATGAACTAAAAGAGGTAAATCTCGGCACCGAAGAGGACCCGCGCCCCATTTATATCAGTGCTCTTCTATCGAGCGAAGAAGAAGAAGAATATGTGGCCTTACTCCAAGAATACAAGGATGTCTGTGCATGGACATACAAAGAAATGTCGGGGTTGGATCCAAAAATCGCTGATCATCACTTAGCAATAAAGAAAGGATGTCGACCAGTAAAGCAGGCTCAAAGGCGCTTCCGCCCAGATTTAATTCCATTAATCGAGGCCGAGGTTGATAAACTTATTGAGGCCGGATTCATTCGAGAAGTGAAATATCCTACTTGGATATCCAACATTGTCCCGGTAAGAAAGAAGAATGGACAAATCTGAATATGTGTTGATTTTCGGGATCTTAACCTTGCATGTCCAAAAGATGACTTTCCACTTCCCATCATTGAATTGATGATACATTGTGTGACTGAGCATGAAATTATGTCATTTATGGATGGTTTTTCCGGTTATAATCAGATTCGGATGGCCCCCGCAGATGAAGAATTGAATGCCTTCCGAACTCCTAAGGGGATCTATTGCTACACGGTCATGCCATTTGGACTTAGGAATGCAGGAGCTACTTATCAACGAGCTATGCAGGCAATATTTGATGATATCCTTCACAAAATCGTGGAGTGCTATGTTGACGACCTCGTGGTGAAGTCAAAAGCCCGAGGCGATCATCTATCACACTTAAGAGTAGTGTTTGATCGCTTGAGGAAGTTTGGTCTCAAAATGAACCCTCTGAAGTGTGCTTTCGGAGTTTCGGCTGGGAAATTCCTGGGGTTTATTGTCCATCACAAAGGCATTGAGATAGAACAAGCCAAGATCGACGCTATTGTGAATATGCCGGAGCCTCGAAATATTCATGAGTTGAAGAGTTTTCAAGGAAAATTGGCTTACATACGGAGGTTCATCTCGAACTTATCTGGAAGATGTCAACCGTTTAGTCGAATTATGAAGAAGGGTGTGCCTTTCATATGGGACCAAACGTGTAAGAATGCGTTTGAAAATATCAAGGTTTATTTGATGAAACCACCGGTCCTAAATGCACCTATCTGTCGCCGCCCTTTGATACTTTACATTGCTGCTCAAGAAAGGTCTGTGAGAGCTCTATTAGCTCAAGAAAATGATAGAGGGAAGGAGAATGCCCTTTATTATTTAAGCAAAATGATGACCCCACACGAGTTGAAGTACTTGCCCATTGAGAAATTGTGTTTGGCCCTTATATTTGCAATCAAGAAGCTTAAACACTACTTTGAAGCTCACACGATAAATCTTGACTCCAGAGCAAATCCGCTGAGTATGTGATGTCCAAAGTGGTTCTATCTGATCGTCTTGCTATGTAGTACTTGATATTTCAACAGTTTGAGATTGTTTATGTCTCACAAAAATCTGTAAAAGGACAAGCTTTGGCAGATTTCCTAGCCGATCACCCTATCCCTGCTGAGTGGGAACTTTCTGATGATCTACTTGATGAAGATGTTCTCATAATTGAAGTTTTGCCTCCATTGAAGATGTATTTTGATGGAGCTGCACATAGAGAAGGTGCTGGAGCTGGTGTGGTCTTTGTTACACCCGAAGGTCAAGTTCTGTCATATGCTTTCACACTTACGGAACAATGCTCCAATAACATCGCTGAATACCAAGCACTCATTCTCGGACTTGAAATAACTGTAGACATGAAGCAAACACGAGTTAATATCTATGGCGATTCAAAACTAATCATCAATCAAGTGCTTGGAATTTATGAAGTAAGGAAACCTGAACTACATCCTTACAACAAATATGCAAAGGCACTCATAGGTTGGCTTGGTGAAGTTACAATTGAACACGTGCCGAGAAAGGAAAACAAGCAAGCTGATGCACTAGCAGGGTTAGCATCGAACATGGCACACCTTGACGATGGAACTCAAGTACGGGTATGTCAAAAATGGGTAATTCCTCCATTCATCGGAGACGATGGTGCAGCCGAAGAGATAGTCGAGATGTCAACTAGCTCGGTTTATGATATTGAAAATGAAGATTGGAGGCAGCCGCTCATTGATTATCTCACTGATGGGAAATTACCTGAAAATTCCCGCAAGAAAGTAGACTTGAAGAGGCTTTCACCGCGTTTCATTTACTATAAAGATACACTTTATCGAAGATCATCGATGGTGTATTCCTTAGGTGTTTGGGTGGAGATGAAGTCTTACAAGCAATGGAAGAAGCACATTCAGGAGTATGTGGAGCTCATCAGTCCGGTCCTAAGCTGCACTTTCATATCAAGAGGATGGGATATTATTGGCCGACCATGGTAAAGGATTGCATGGACTATGCTAAAAGATGTCAAGCATGCCAATATCACGCAAATTTCATCCATCAAGCACCGGAGCCTTTGCATCCGACAGTAGCATCATGGCCATTTGACGCTTGGGGACTTGACGTGTTTGGGCCAATCACACCTAGCTCATTAGGAGGGCATTCATACATACTAGCCGCTACTGATTACTTCTCAAAATGGGCCGAAGCAATTGCATTGAAAGAGGTGAAGAAGGAAAATGTTGCTGATTTCATCCGAGTTCATATCATCTACCGCTTTGGCATTCTCCGATATATCTTGACGGACAATGGGAAACCTTTTGACAACAAGTTGATGGACAAGATATGCAAGTTATTTGATATCAAGCAACGGAACTCCTCTATGTACTATGCTGCCGCCAATGGCCTCGCTGAAGCTTTTAACAAGACTCTATGCAACCTGTTGAAGAAAGTAGTGTCAAAATCAAAGAGGGATTGACACGAAAGAATGGAAGAAGCATTATGGGCATATAGAACGACTTATCGAACACCTACCCAAAGCACTCCATATTCTTTGGTGTATGGTACCAAAGCAGTCCTTCCCCTTGAGCGCCAAATACCATCTCTGAGATTGGCTATTCAAGAAGGATTCACTGATGAAGAAAACGTCAAGTTGCGGTTGACAGAACTCGAGTCACTTGATGAAAAGAGGTTAGAAGCTCAGCAGAACCTAGAATGCTATCAGGCTCGTCTATCGAAATGATTCAACAAAAGGGTTAGAATTCATTCATTCCAAGTTGGCGATAAAGTTCTAGCTGTGAGAAGACCTATCATTATCACACGAAAAACGGGGCACAAATTCTCACCTAAATGGGATGGTCCTTATGTTATTCAAGAAGTATATTCAGGCGGTGCCTACAAGTTGGTCGATGGAGATGGCTCAAAGATTGGCCCGATCAATGGAAATTTTTTAAAGCTCTACTACCCTTGATATTTGGGGTATAGATATGGCCATAAGAAATGTTGAATGGCTTAAACCACCAATGATGTTGTAAGTGACTAAACTGCTAAAACATCTCACCTTGTCTATGGGTGAGCATAATCATAGATACTCTTGGCCCACGAGAGTTTAAAATGTGTACGGCAAGTTCTTGGCCCACGAGAGTTAAAAATGTGTACGGCAAGCTCCTGGCCCGCATGAGTTAAAACTGTGTACGGTCCCTTCAAATTACCAATTCAAATGGTACATATGAACTACGTTTGACTTGATCTCCTTCATAGGAGTACGTAGGCAGCTCAAAAGTTTCATTTTTGAGTTCGGTTATAACAAAACAAAACCCAATTAAGTTTTTAGCCAAAGGGATTACGAAAAACAAAGTCATACCAAGATGTGAGAGTTCTCAAGTCTGCGCCTCGCCTGAAATTGATTGAGTTGAGCTTCGAACATCATCTTCTATCAGCGCCGCTCTAACCTTCAAACCGTTGAAGTGGTCGTCATTCAAACTGGCTAAATGGCCAGCCTTCATAAACGGCAAAATGGCCGCCCTTCATAAATGGCATCAGCAGAGCTTTGTATTCACAAGACTTCATCGGCCTAATTCTTTAGATCGGTGCCACTAGCCCAACGAGGGCCCCAAGCAACACCGACGATTGATAATCAGTCAATCTCTTTCCTCTTCAATTAATGGCGCAGTAGAAAATCTGGCCTTGGTATCATTTCAGAGCTGCTCATTGTTGAAGATAGCCCATAAAAAATTGAAAGGCTCAATTTGTAAATAGGCCCAAAAGGCCCAATGTTTATTAAAAGAACTGGTCCCGATTTTTGTCATCTTCTTCGCACGAACACGAGACCAGAAGCCGCAATCGATCCGTCTCCTTCTTGGCGAACATAAGGAAAAGTCAGGAGCAGGGTCTTTGTCTCAGCCTCTGCCATCGATCTCTGGCGGCAACAACTCATCGATTGGCCTCACCCTCCCGTCATCTCCTTCGCACGAGCATCGCGTGAAACATCGAGCGATTTCCTTCTTCTCGCGAAAGCTGCAGCAGAGGCGTCAAATTGATCCAGCACGAGCTTTCCCCCCAGCGAACGGCGACCCCTCATCACCGATCTCCGGCGGCTTCACCTCAAGTCCTGGTGACGAAACAGCAACGGCGGCCAGAACTTCACCTCAACCTGCGAAAGAGACAGCGACGCCGACGGGTCTGGCGGCATCTTTTCTCTCCAACAAGCAGCACCATCAATTCGGCAACAAAATAATAACAATGGCCAATTCAGCTATTCATCACAATCGTCTATATTGACATTCTACGGAGCTTCTCATTATGCTCTGTTCTTCTGTATTATCTTATGCCTGCTCAATGAAGGAGAATAGAAGAAGAGGTTATACAATTAAAAGTAAATGTGTTTACCTTAAATTTTTTTCTCTGCTCAATATCAATTTACCTTAAATTTTTTTCTCTGCGTTCATAACTTACGGATGGTGGGTTATATTTATAGAGTTGGAATGTCCTAGTTCGAATCAGATCTGCTGGATAAAAAAAAGGAGTCCTAAAGTACGTAGAAGTAACATGAGCCTAGAATTGTACTTATGATGATGAGAATGTTTTATCTGACTCAAATTGGAATAGAGAAACGCGGCATCCAGGCAAAGTTAAAGTCCTCATAGAATCAGAATACTGAATTCTTGGTACTCCGCATTTGACTCACGTTTGAAGACATATGGAAGGAATTTTGCAATTATTTCTACCGTATTGGATTATTTGGGCCTAGTTGGGTGAAAGTGTGAATTTTAGATTAATTTGGGCCAATCATCTTCTAAGAAGATTACCTTCTTTCGAGCATTCAACCATATTTTGGTGCACTCTGAATATTAGTTCAGAATCAGGAATTGTTTAAGCCAGATAATGCATATACCGTTTTGGAGACTTACTTTTCACCGGCACAAGACGTTCAAGTAAATCTCGAGGGGGCATTTGTGGACATATAAAAATTATCGGACAGTGTTCAGTTCTGTTGGGCTGCTCGTGATAGTCGTTGGGCCTTACAAAAAATATTAATATGGGCCCATTCAGATAAAATTTAATAATTGAATTAATTTGGGTCATTAAAATATATATATATATATATATATATATATATTTATATATACCCAATTGATTTAATTATAAATTAAATCTTTAAAAGAATGGACTGGTCCTATTAATTTCTTTATTTTGAGCCCATTATTAAATAAGTAGCCCAATGAATAAGAGTCATGATCCAATTGATAAAAAGAGCAATGAATATGGTTAAGAAATTCATCCGTACGCATGGAAAATGGTTGCGAACCTTGTTAAAAATGTTGTCCAGATACATCGAACAAGTGCTGATTCTTCTCACTATTAAATGCAAGCAAATAGAGCCCAAAACCTATTTTATTTGAGGCTCAAGGGATATGGACGAATTTCCAAAACCCTAAAGCATATTTTCATCCCCTCCACACCTATAAATAGGGGTCTCAGTTGACAGGAAAAAGAGGAGAATTTTCAGACGAAGAAACGCTGCAGAAAAGCTCTCAAGAACTCCCGAAAGGCTCTAAACGATTCCGAAGAAGATGAATAGATCACACCGCGAATTTTATTAAGAATATACGAATAATCCTTCGTGATTTCGTCGATTCTTTAATAAAATAAATCTAAAAGTTGAAGAACGTTCGAAGATCTGAAGAACAAAGCTTGAAGATTCGAAGATCTGAAGAACAAGACTTTGAAGATTCGAAGATATGAAGAACGAATCTTTGAGGATTTGAAGATATTCATATGAAGATTGAATCAAGATTCAATTGAAGATCAAGACATATATCCCGGAAGGCCCTTAAACAGAAGATCAAGCCATAAAACGATCCTTTTGTTGAAGATCAAGCCACTTGATAAAATCGGAGGCCCTTCAAGTTGAATTCTTAATTCAAGAAGATTTGAAGATCCGACGAACGAAGATTCAAAGATTCGAAGATCTCAAGAACGAAGATTTGAAGATCTGAAGAACGTTCGAACGTTTGAAGGATTAAAGATTTAATTTTGAATTAATTTCTTTAATTATATTTATTTCAAATTGCAAGTGAAGAATCAGAGGATTCATATTTAGAGATTGTACCCAATATTCTCACATATTATTATTTGCGATCATTTGAGATTGTACCAATACTTAAAATTTGTTTTAGATCAAGGGCGAAGTCACTAATTTTTGAGTCACTTTGAGATGGAGGTAACTGATTGAACCAAGGAAGGCGAACGGTGGTCACTGCCCATGACCCAATCATTGTGTTACAATTACATCGTTTGGCGGAGTCATTATGAATGGGCGAGGGTGTCACTGATATATCACTGAGTACTTTAGCCATATTTAACACCAACCGGCCTACGATCATGATTGCAGAAACGAAACTTTAAGATATTAGAATACTCTTATGCTATTTAATTCTTCCGTTTTTTGCACGGAATTGGTTGGTAATATATATCCATTTATGTTAGTTACCCTCTTACAAAGACACGTAGATAACATTAGTCTTATTTTTGGGGGAAAAAATTTTAAGCCACTTTTTTGTCTTTCAACCTCCATTTAATAATATCTTGATAGGGCATAAATTAGTCAAATTAATCTCGAACATGTTACCACTATGAGTGTGAAACAAACAAAGCACCCAGTGCGTGGACAAATTTATACTCTGAAAGCTATTCACATTTCACATTATGAATATTATGAACATTATGTAATTAGATTTAGTTTAAGCTACAAATGTACAAGTATGTATGAGTAGAAGATCAATTTATATCACATGTGTGTAAAGATGCAATTGTGAAAAAAATTTTAACGATTCTCTAAATAGAAATAAAACTGAACAATTTTTCTCAAATAGTAGTATCATTATTTTCTTCCGAGAATATGGGAAATGCACTCCTATTTAGGATTGTTTAATCATTTTATTTTACTAAGATTAAATATATTCTATATTTCGGGAATAAAACACACTTAGTGCTATTTTGGAATTTTTCCTATACTTAACTCTTATTTTGTTTTTATAAAATTTTAGGATATATATATGGGATGGGCTGAGATTGAGGGGGCAGCTACCCTCTCTGCCCCTGCCCTACCCTAGATACACCCCCGAAACCACCACAACCAAATCAGAGTGTTAATGACTCTTATGACATGTCATTAACAGACAATTTATTTAAAGGGAGACTTCTCTAAATATGACTAAATAATATCAAAATTGCAAAATAGGACTAACTCTTTCTATTCTACCCTTTCCCTTATCTTTCTTAATAGATTTTTTTTAAAATATTAATAATAAAACATAAGTAAGTTGATTTAAAGAAAATAAAAAATGTAAAAAATAAAGAAAAAATATACAAGCGTCAACCACCACCTCAGCCACCTTCTAGCGCCGCCACCTCTGATCGTCGGAAAAGAATGTCAAATTGAAAAAAAAATGTCACTGTGATGACAATTTTGAAATGAAATCTCGATATTTTCAAAGTGTAAAATGTTATTTAGATATTTTAGAGGAATGTGATAAATTTTACATAAGATGACATTTTTTCCGACGACTGAAGCTTGGTGGTGCTAAGAGGTGGAGGACGCGGTGGCAGTGGCCTACATATTTTTTTAAATATTTTTTAGTTTTTTTATTTTATTTTTTAGACTTTTAATTTTTTAGATATTTCTCTTTATTTTTTTTATTTTTTTCATTTTTTCACGTATTTTATTATTAATATATAAATATTGTATTTATTTTTATATTTTTATTATAAATCAAACTATGATTTTCTTATTAATAAAATAAATCTATTAGAAATTATAGAATGGGAAGAAAGGACATACAATAGTATATATTAAAATAAATCTATTAGGGGTAGAATGGGAAGAAAGGACAAATATTAATCTTATATTAGGATTAAAATGATTGTAGTCATATTGTTGATTTTTGGACTAATTTTGGTCATATTTAGGTCTAAACCGTCTAATACCCGTTATTTAAACCATCACACTTTTTGATTATTTTGTGAGGAGAGGAGAGGGATATATTTCCAATTCCAACTTAGTGAGTGCATTACATGTTGTTACCTATAATAATAATTTGAGTTCATTACGAACAGGTGGGAAAAAATTAGAACTATGGAATAACATACACATCACGCTCATTATAAAAGTGAACAGCAATTTGGACTTGCAAGAATTGAAAAATAGATACAAACTACAAAGTATCCCGAAGCGGCAACAAAAATTACAGGTATACATCCAAAACAGGCAATTCAGCCCACAAAACCTACTAACAAAACATCCTTAAAGATTCAGAAGAATTTTATATACCTGCAAAAAATGAAAAACAAAAACGGAATTAGGTGATCATTACATTACACACACTCTGGCTGGAAGGCGAATTCTACAAGAATGAGCTTCTACAGGAATTCCTTCAAATGCAACTAATTTAATTGCATTATTATCTGCTGTGAAGTGGAATCTAGTGTGAGCTTCCAAAAAGCTCCTGCCCATAACCTCTTTGATCCATTCGCTCACTGCTTCTTTTCTGTCCGATAACCAAGCAGCCGCAAGCATCTGAATCATTAGTTCCTGATCAATCTCTAGAATAGTATTTGTTCCGAAAACCTCCACCAGTTTATCGTTGATCCCCTTGAGAATTTCCTTGGCAAGAGCATCAAAGTCAAAAGGCTTGAAGATCACGTTTTCATCTGTCTGCTTCAGAAAATCATCGAACCATTCTGCTGTTGCACTGTCATAGCCGGAGTCACTATTAGAGTTGTCACTATCATCCTCCCCTTCCATCTCTTCCTCCACAGGCAGGTTCAGATCAAGAGAAACTTTTGATGCTCTTTTAGAACTTCGACAAGTCACCTTGTTGGAGTACATCAGTTTTCTTTTGTTTAAAGAAAAGGTGTTTGGTGTTCTGTTCCTAGAAGTGATGATAAACACATTCATGCTCTCCATTCTCATTCCGCCTCGAGTCCTCGGTCCCGTGATAATCATCATTGGCAGGTCTTTGGCTGCAAGTATGCTTCTTTCTGAATAAAGGGGGGAATCTGAACCTGCAAGGCAATTGGGTTTATCCTTTGAGTACTTTGAACTGTTTGAAGTGATCATAAAAACCGTGTTATTTATACTGATCTCCCTTCCGTGCAAATCTGGGAACTTGCCCGTTTTCAGCGACTGGGAGAGGCTGTTCTGAATGAGAAAGTCAGACTTTTCTATATTTTCAAGAAGCACAGCAGAATAGCATTTCTTGCTTAGCTCATCAGCGATGCAGTCAACAGCCGCTTTCCCCCTAATGCTCACATCATGGCTTTTGAAACCACAATGGTCGAACATAGAGTTAGAGGAGTTATTAATCTCATTATGATTGGAGCTGAGATCCACAAACAGCAAGCTACCCTGGCTTCCAAAGACTTTTTCAGAAAGGAATCTCGCAATCTTTCTTTTCCCCACTGTGTCAGGTCCAAGGTAGGAGAGCCAGATATTTCCCCTGTTTCGACCATGACCTCTTACTTGTCCATTTCTGCAACTCGATACTGTTTGGCTAATGGTGTAAATTGCCTCATCTTGCCAGTAAACAATCTCAGCAAGAGATTTATGTATGTACTTAAAGTCTTTTGAAGCCAGGCCATCTCCTACCACATGAGGAAGGAGCCCACAAGAAGAAACTGAGCCAGAGATATGCTGAAGGCGGTCTTTATGATCTTTGACACTTTGTTCTGGTTTCCTTTTATCCGTGGATACATATATGGTTCCCAATCCTAGATCCGTGGATACAGTACAGACCATAGGTTTGGGTAACACTAGTTTACTGGATGGAGAGATATTTTGCTCACTGAACTGGCTTTCAGCTAATAAAACTGAATCTTGACTTTTACATTCACCCATTGCAGCAGGCAAAACATGGGGTGGAGATGACTGTGATTGATGAAGACGTTGGCATATATCGTTCCATTTCTTTTGTAAACCCACAACTCTGATGTTGAAAACATTGTCATTTTTGGCCTGCACTGCAAATGATAAAGTACATGTTCACACAAATGTTTTCACAAACTTTAAGGTCTTGTTTGGTTGGGGATTATGGAGGGGATGGGAGGATAGGTTTTGTTTTACTAACTTATCTCTATTTGTTGATCAGAAATAGAAAAATACTTTATGTTTACTTAAATCATGTCTCCATTTTTTCATCTTTACATTCTTTTCAACCCATGAAAATATTTCCCCATCTGTGATCCAATATGCTAAACAATGAAAAAACTTTCAAGTGAAAAACTCGGTGACTGTGAATGACACACCTCTATCACAGTCATTGTACAGCTTGTTCCACATTCAGCCATTTGTAACCAAGGAGGAACATTAGAAGGGTGTTGATCAGCTACTGAAGTAGTAGTGGATCCTTTCAAAAGGCTGGTAACTTCTTGCTCGTACTTTTCGTTGCAAAGGTTGCAACGAGCAATGGACTGATTTATGTTGCTCTGTACATTTTCAAACTCGGATGGTGTTGGAAAGAATCCGGCAAATGGAACGAACGAACCCATCAAGCTGTAAGGATCAAACGATCATCTTTGAGATCCAACATTTTATTAGAGTCGCTATAGCAATAATTCGTTGACTCATAAAAATGAATAATATTGTTGTCAACTCCACATAAGGTTTACACATAGTAACATAGCAATACTCAATAAAAAATCTATTAATTAATAGATTTATAGTAATACAACAATAATGTAGTAACTAGTAATCACCTTGAAATAGTGCTTGGTATGCCATATTTTAAGGTCTTTTAAACAAAATAGATCATTTAATGAAAATATTAAAGGTTCTTTTATTTATTTTAAAATGACACATCATGTATTAGAAAACATGTACTCTGTAGGACTCTTAGTAAGGGTAAGTAACAATTCTAAAAAATAAAATTACGGAGTATGACATAATTATAATGATTTTAATGTCCTACCATTCATTTCAAAATGCATGAATAGCCGTGCAAAAAAAATTATTCCAGAACTATTTTAAAATCACCACTATTGTGTTCTTAGGATATTTCTAATTGGATTGAAATTTTATGATCGGAAATGCATTGGTCTGGTCTGGTTGATATCTGATCTATGTGTATTTTATAACTATCGAAGTCTGGTTTGGTCTCGTCTATTTAAGTCTGGTCTGGGACTGAAATACAATGCCTGAGGCCTAAGCAGATACATTCAATGGCGCTAACTGGGATTCATGTGAAAACCCCAAGATACAACATGTGTATCACAATGTATAACTCCCACTGCACAAAGCATACAGATACATTTCAAGGGTGCTAACTGGAATTCATGCTCATAAGTTTTCAGGATGAAAAGAAGTACATCGCATTTATCAGCAGTATGACATAGGTTCTTAAAGGCAATAGCAATATCAGAGTGCTGAAACTAGGCAATCCTTATCCATAACTACTTAATTTATAGGTTGCTGCTACTAAGTGGCACATTTAATAGATCTTATAAGTATAAAAGTATAAAACCAATCATCAGTTTGTAAAACAATGCATGTATTAATTGCAAACTAGATTCATTAAGTAGCATTCTGAATTAGGCTCAATTTCATAGATGTGCATACGTAGAACAAAAAGGGAAATCCATAAATGAACTTACAGTTTCAAGTATTCTTGGAGAATGATTGTCATTCCAAATTCATAATAGATATATAAGAACGGTGTAAAGAGACTGACAAAATACCATTTAAAGATTTGCAAAGTAATACCCAGTCTCGAAAAAATCAAGGATGGGCCAATTTTCTGATTAATATATTTATAAAGTCATAAACAAAAGACAATCTAACTTGTCCTATTCATCAGCCATTAAAAGGAAAAGAAATTCTTCAGGGACCATAGCTATTATATTATACAAAAAAACATATAATCAATTATATACTAGCTGACAGGCAGCTTGCTAGCTTACCTGGATCTGGGGTTAAACCTTCCAGTTATAGATGCTGAAGTAGTAATGGGAAGAAGATGCAAATCCCAATCCTTTTGAATAGAGGGAAACCGACCCAAGAACTTTATGTAACTTTCATCACTGCCTGCCGATCCCACAAGCCACAATTTCCCACGATGAACTTCCACCAATCTCTTCAGCTCATAAACCACATACTTCACCGCCTCTGTTCGGTCGCCATCAACAAACACCTTCAATTCACCATAGTTGACCACCAGCCCCGGCCCAGTACAACCCTCCACTGCGTCACTCAATTCCTTAAACTTCAAATCCATCACCCTTTTTCCGCTCTCACCTGTCCGGAAAAACTCGGAGATCTCTTTTCCAATGCAAATTACACTCACGCCGTTTATTTCATAGGGAAGGGCGCTATCATCACCCTTTTCTACGCACTCTGTGAAGTTACGTAGGGCATCATTCGCGCAAGCCCCGATTAGCAACGGGTTCCTCGAGCTTTTCCCCACGAGAACTTCGCCGATTCTTCTGGAGTTTTCGTCTACATTTTCATTTCCAGAAAATGTAGAAAACGGAAAGTTGAAGGGGCGTCTGTTGAGCTCATAATAATCAGTCGAATTGCAGAAAAACAGGGGCGGATGTGGATTTGCGGAGAGTCTGGAAATGGTTGGGGGTTTCAGAATCACGAGCTTGATATCGTAGCTCCGGAAACCCGCTTCTCCTAAGACCCGACTTACAATAGGGTCATCGAGGATGGACAGCACAAAATGCTTCAGCTCAACTTTGAGAGTCGAAATCGAAGAAGACGAGCAGGAACCCTGGTTCTGCAGCTGCTGATACAGGTGAAATGTGTCGGGGTGCCTCCGCTGATTCGCCTGCGAGCGCTTGATTGCAGCCATAAGTGAGTTGGAAACCGGCGGCTCGTCTAGGGATTTCGCTGTGGGTAGTCGATCGAGCGACACACTGACGGATAGCTCCAGCGCCCGGAACTGCAACCGCGGCGAGTACGAGCAGCTCCTCGCCCGCGCACACGCCTCCCGAAGTACGGAAGAGGGAAGCGCCAGTAGCGCTGATACAGCGTGCAGTGAGGTGGTCTGAGCGTGAGTCCGGCGACGAGCCACATTAATGGCGTCATCCAACACACGCGCCGCCTCATCTGTTAAACATTGCCTGGCAGTGGTCGCCGGCGTTGGCATCGCCGGTAAGCCTAAAAAGGAATGGTTCTTATCACTGTAATGATTAATTATTAATAATTACTGCGTAATATATATACACACGAGAAGAAGGAGACTAGCATCTGTCACAATTCACATAAAGAAGTGTGATTATCTACAAAGAATTCACACTTCTACTTTTTATACAAGAAATTAAGAAGATGGCTTTTTGAATGGGAAGGAAATCTTTTTATGAAAAAGAAGAAAAGAAAAAAGGGGACTGATGTACATTTCAGCACCTTTTGCATTTATATTTTTTGTTGCAGCTTTAGGAGTATAATAACAACTCAAATGAGAGAGAAAGATACACAGAAGGGAAGAATTTTTGTTGTGATGCTTGTAGGCTGAGTTGTTTGTGTGGGCCCTAACGTAACTCTCTGTTAACGTTCTTGTTTTGCATCACAAACATTTCTCTTTGTTTTTGACACTTTTTCCCTTATTTTTCTCACCATCCATCACTTTGTTTTTGCATTTTTCTCCTGTTTACTTTTAAAAGTACGGAGTATTATTCATTGCATCATACTCCCTCTTTTCTAAGAAGATGGCGTTTTTAAGTGTCTCACATTCCTTTTTGAGACGTTTTTAATTATTTGTCCTTCTTTCCTTTTTTTGTAAGTTTTTTCAATCAAAATACCTTTATATCCTCACTTTTATTACCATTACCCCTTTCTCTTTCCTACTTTTTCATTTACCCACAACCCACTACACCTTTTACACTACCCCTATTATTTTCCTCTTAAAACTCATGTCAAAGTCTAAGAGGACTCATATTTAAGAACAGAGGAATTACTTGAATTTCTCTATTATTATCTTGTCATTCGTCAGGTCGACACAATGGGCACATACTCTCATGTCTTCTATAAATAAAACCTCCAACCTCATGAACACATTGTATCTCTTCACTACTAAACAAACTCATTAACTTTAACTTGTTACAATCACGCCCTTAGAAATATATCAAGTACACACATGTTAAGTTTCGGAGCGTACAAGATTAATTCATGTATTACTCTTTTTAAAAAAAATATATTACTTCTTCATAAAAGAACTATAAAATACAATAAAAATATAGTATCATATATTCAATTAAAAATACATTATAATTAAAAATATACTAAATACTTAACAAAATAAAAATAAATAATTGTCATGCCATGACTTGGCTCATACCAAATTTAAAAAATCTTATATTATTAATGTAAATGAAGAGTCAAATTGTTATTTATCTACTTACTTATTAAGTCATGTACTGATTTATTTATGTATTTACAAACTTAAAAGCTACGAAACGTCATTTTTTTACTCCGAGGGGGGGGGGGGGGTGAGGGAGGAGCTTGGGGTAATCAGGGCTGAAACTCACTTCATTGCGTTTCAAACCCTTATGTGCCTAGCGGACTTCGAACTCAAGACCTCTCACTAGACACGATAACCTCACAACCAGTTGGGCTGGAATGCTTGGTTAACTACGGAGCATCAATTTTCTAATTTACTTGACCTAATTTATTAATTTACTAAAACTAGTAGCAACTTAGTAAATTAGTTAAAGTTACTAATTTACTCAAAAAACGTATTTGAGATATTCTATTAGAAAATTTATTTATAAAAATAGTTTTAAATTTTTTCTAATAAAAATTATGTGTACCGTCCTAGTCTAGCACAGGCTCACCTCAACTCTTAAAAATGCATCTAAAAAATTGTTCAATTTATTTCAAAAAAAAATAATTTGAGATAATCAATTAAAAGAATATTATTAATGTAAAAAATCTAATAAAAAGTATTGAATAAATAAATAATAAATAAATGAACGATTGAATAAATAAATAAAAAAATAAATAAATAAATAAATAGATAAATAAATAAATAAATAAATAAATAAATAATAAATAAATAAATAAATAAATAAATAAATAAATACGTCAATACATAAATTAATGAATAAGTAAATAAATTATTGTATATATAACTAAATAAATAAAAAAATGAATTATAAATTAATAAATATACAAATATATAAACAGAAGTAATTTTTACACTTTATACACATTAATGGTATTTTTTTTTTTTAATTTGGTGTGAACTAGGGGATGACATGGCATTTATAAATTTTTATTGAATAGAACATCAATAGATTATCAATTTATCATGAGCATATTATAATTAATTCCATTAATGATTTTAATATATAACTACTAACACTGGTTTCTATATCTCATTTGGTATATAATAATGTGTTATATTAAATCTTAATAATTAATGGATACCGTACCTTTACCGCACTGAAATTTCGGTAAGGTAACTGTATGTATTTTTGCATTTAGAAAATTTACAATACGATAATGATATGAGATAAAATATTCGATATATCTTACCAAACCACCCATAGTGCTAACATATCGGATGACAAGCCAAAAGTGACTCTATTTGGGAAATAAGATCAGAACTACTCCTAATTGGGAAATAAGATTTAAAAGTACCTTAATTTGGGGGGAAATTCCGACTTCTTGATACAACTACAGAAGAAGTGTCTCCGATTAGTCGAACAACATCATATTTTCAACAAGAAGCCTAATCTTACAAGCTTATATAATCACTTGAATCAAGATGAAACACTAATTGTGTTACTACGGGATTAGTAAAGTTATCCAGGAACCAAGGACGTTTTTAATTGGATTGCTTTCACTCCCAGACCAGTCCAGACCAGAACAGATTAGACCAAACTTGGATAGTTATAAAATACACAGAGACTAAACATTATCGGATTAGAGCAATTCAGACTAGACTAGACCAGATCAGCAAATTTAGTACATGTAAAAAATCCTAACTCATGAACATCCACATGAGAAAAATTCTAAAGATGTGATGTAATGCACTAAAATCACTCCCACATACCCCTTTTAAACATTTTACTTTATTCATATCTTGACATAGATACGTGCCTACTTGTTAACCCACATTTTGACCTAATGTTAAATTTCAAATATTCTTATGCACTAAATTTGTAATATGATTTTATTATCATCAAATCCAACTAATATATTAACTCAAAATAACGTTCATCACATGACTGATAATACAATCAAAGAAGTAAACAAAGTGATAAAAAGCCTTATGTCTGCAATCCGCCCTCGAACTAGATTTATAATATATCACCTCTGTAGAAGCAATAATATTCTTTGATCGTGTAATGAGCTTAACTGAGCCAATGACTAGCAAATCAGACTTCTCATCACCTGACTTAAAATCTAGAAACTCTCTGCTAGGAAATAAGAAAACGTCCAAAACAACATGCAATTCTAAATAAAAACCCAAACATAATAAAAATGAATTAAAAGAGCGTTCACTCATCTTCTTCCAAACCATAGACTTGCTTGCACTCCATGGCGGCGGCTCAGGACGGGGACGCGCTCGCCGCTCATCTACCTCTATAGTCATGCTTTTGTATTGAACGACGATGTCCTCTTTTGTCATCCCTTGCTGTTAAATCGAAATCATATTCCGCCACAGTTTATCCATCTTTTCTTTGTCAACACTCGACCTTCGACCAGAAACAACAACAGAAGTCAATCCCTGGCCGCCATAGTGTTGCGTCCCTGGTCTCGAGCCTGCTTGCACGATCGAAAACGATCGCCGTCCGCTCTTCGTCGATGAAAAAAGCGGAAGAAACAAAATCCTTACTCGTAGGGAGATGACCGCTAGAGAGAAGACTCTCCAATTCCAACAATTGGCCGGAAAACCCTAGCCCCGCTCCTCGGCAAGGCCGATATCAGACAAATCCAAGCTAGCAGTTACCTTGCGGCAACCCTAAATTTGTAATTTGATTAAATAAATGTAAATGATTTTTGTATGAACTTGTTGAAGAGGATAATTATTTCATTTTCATATAACTTTCTCTTAATTTATTTGTGACTTTTTTAGAATGTAATCATGTCATAGATTAGCAAAATTTATCATGTCAACTATAACTTTAACTGTGTGGGTAATAATTTATGTAAACGTGGCCAATTATAATATTGCCAGCTCATAGGAACGTACTGATAATTAAAAAGGTGAATTATAGTTGAAATGTTTTATTACTGTTTTAGCATTGTTCCACATTGCATCAAAGCTTAATGGATATTGATTCTTTACTATTCCGTCACTATACAGGAACCAAATTAATTAAGACCATTTCAAATATTGACTGAGCTAGTCAAGCATTTCTAAATTTTTACTCCGTATGAAAGCAATGTATACATATTTATGCATTTCCTTCTCTCGTAATTAGTCGTAATACTTTAACCTTTTTTTATCCTCAGGAGTCGGGGGCGTGGGAGAGTCTGATGGTAAACAAGGCTGAAACTCTCTCAATAGAATTTTGAACTTGAAACTTCTCACGTAGAAGAATGAGTTGATGACCAGTTGAATTTCACCGCATTCTGTGTCGTAATACTTTAAGATTTACGTCCACTAATATTAATGTATTGATTTAAAAAAAAAAAAACATTGCAAAATTTTATAATGACACAAATATAAAAACATTACTTACTCATTAATCAATAAAGTAGAATTGAAGTAGAGTATGTAAATTTTGCAAAACTTGATTGCAATTAATAAAGAAATGAAGTAGTTCATGTTCATTTAACACACAAAGAGGATTTCTTGTTGATTACAAACCCGAATCAACTTTTTCACTATTTCTTGATGTTTCAAGATAGGAGTAATTTCTTATTTTAAATATACGGAGTACGACATTAGAAAAGTGAGAACTGTATATGTATTTATAGCAAAGATATAAGAAATAATTCCACTTTTGGTCCTGTGAGTTTTGTACCAAATTCATCTTTAATCCACGTCTTTCACTGTTTCCATTTTTGGTACTTGATTAATATTTTTTTTAACCGTTTGTGATCCTTTTCCGGCGATTTTAACCATCGGAAGCAATGTCGGAAGGACCATATATGGGCGAAAACCCAATAGTCATGTATCAAAAGTGGACAAAGTGAAAGATGTGGACTAAATGTAGAATTGACCTAAAACTCGTAGGACCATAAGTGGAATTTATTCAAGATTTAACTATGTATTTACTCTGACTACATGTAGTATTTCACTGGTCAAGTAGGCTGGTATGAAAAAAATACGTGTACACATAATTTGTACAACATTTGTTGTACACACCCCTGGTTGTTGTGTACATAGGCAGCTCGTTCAGAAGCTCATGTATACACAGACATCTAGGCAGTGTATATAATAAATGTGTACAAGTAGCACTTTTCGACTATTATGGGGGTGTTTGA